GGAATCGAGCAAATGAAAAGTGGCTTTTGATATCTTGATAACGTCAGGTTTATTCATTTTTGGCGAATTGCTAGTCTAATTCTGTTGGAATCGTGCCAACGAAAAGTGGCTTTTGATTTCATGATAACTTCGGGTTTTTTTATTTTTGGCAAATTTCTAGTCTAATTCGATTAGAATCGAGCCAATGAAAAGTAGGTTTTCATTTCATTATGACTTCGTGTTTGTTCGTTTTTGTCGAATTGCTAGTCTAATTCAATTGGAATCTAGTCAATGAAAATTGGGTTTTGATTTCATGATAACTTCGGAGTTGTTCCTTTTTGGCGAATTGCTAGTCAAATTCGATTGGAATCGAGCCAATGAAAATTAGCTTTTTGATTTCACAATAACTTCCGGTTTATTCGTTTTTGGCAATTTGCTAGTCTAGTTCGATTGGTATCGAGCCAATGAAAAGTGACTTTTGATTTCATGATAACTTCGGGTTTGTTCATTTTTGACGAATTGCTAGTCTAATTCGATTGGAATCGAGTCAATGAAAAGTGGCTTTTGATTTTATGATAATTTCGGGTTTGTTCATTTTTGGAAAATTGCTAGTCTAATTCGATTGGAATCGAGCCAATAAAAAGTGGGTTTTCATTTCATTATAACTTCGTGTTCGTTCGTTTTTGGCGAATTGCTAGTCTAATTCGATTGGAATTGAGCTTATAAAAAGTTGCTTTTGATTTCATGTTAACTTCGCGTTTGTTCATTTTTGACGAAATGCTAGTCTAATTTGATTGGAATCGAGCCAATAAAAAGTTGCTTTTGATTTCATGATAACTTCGGGTTTGTTTATTTTTGGCAAATTGCTAGTCTAATTCTATTGGAATCGAGCCAATGAAAAGTGGGTTTTCATTTCATTATAACTTCGTGTTTGTTCGTTTTTGGCGAATTGCTAGTCTAATTCGATTGGAATCGAGCTAATGAAAAGTGGCTTTTGATTTCATGTTAACTTCGTGTTTGTTCATTTTTTGGAGAATTGCTAGTCTAATTTGATTGGAATCGACCCAATAGAGAGTGGCTTTTGATTTCATGATAACTTTAGATTTGTTCTTTTTTGGCGAATTGCTAGTCTAATTCGATTGGAATCGAGCCGATGAAAAGTGGCTTTTGATTTCTTGATAACTTCAGCTTTTTTCATTTTCGGGGAATCGCTAATCTACTTAGATTGGAATCGAGCCAATGAGAAGTGGTTTTTGATTTTATGATAACTTCGGGTTTGTTCGTTTTTGGTGAATTGGTAGTCTAATTCGATTGGAATCGAGCCAATGAAAAGTGGTTTTTGATTTCATGATATCTTCGGCTTTGTTCATTTTTGCGAATTGCTAGTCTAATTTGATTAGAATCGAGGCAATGAAATGTGGTATTTGATTTCATGATAACTTCGGGTTTGCTCATTTTCGGCGAATTGCGAGTCTAATTCGATTGGAATCTAGCCAATGAAGAAAAAAAAATATCACAACAGTCAAAAAATGCTGCCAAAAAAAAAAAAATGATATAAGCATGGACAACATACAAAAACGTTGCAAAATTTTTTATTAGCAACTCTTGAAAAATGTTGTAAAAAAGTTATTAGCAACATTCAATGAATATTGCAAAAATGTTATTAGCAACATTAAAAAAATTGCAAAATGGTAATTCGCAACATTGAAAAAACGTTGCAAAAATATTATTAGCAATACTAATATATATATAAATTGTTGTATCATTCTGCTCTATGGCAATGCCGAGATTTGTAACATTTGTCCTAACGTTGCAAAAGACCTTCGACTACATTTTTTGAACGTTATAGAAGGCTATTTTTATTGTAGTGAACAAATTAAGCCAATCAGTTAAGTTCACTTTTGTCTTACACGACAGCCAATTTTATAACATGAGAAAATCAAACAATTTATATTCAGTTATTGTGAAGATTGAGACTAAACAAGAGATGGGAAAAATATACTATTGAACTTTGAACATAATGGATTTTGATGTCTCGAGAGTTAATTCTCTACCATGAAAATAGTTGAAAAATAAAATATTTTTTGTATGAATGGTTTATGCATAAATTTACTGGCAGGCTAAAAATTGTTAAATTCATAGGGTCACACTTAAGTTAATTTCATTTTTGGTCACTGAACTCTGTCGAAATTCAATTAGGTCACCCAACTTTAATCTATTGCAATTAAATTATTGAGCTTTAAATTACTAGCAAATTTGATTTATATTAGAGTGTGTTTACTTGACATGAAAATATCACCTAGAAAAAAATATTTTCCTTTTTTTGAGGAAAATAAAAACCTATTCAAACGAAATAAAATATTTTTCTTAAAAACAAAAAAAATTAAACATATTTTCAAAAGTTAGAAAATATTTTCAATAAAAAAAATATCAATCAAACACCGCAAATTAGGAATTTGGATGAAAATTTGATATTTTCCATGAAAAATAAATGCAATGAAACACACTTAATTCCTTGTTTGAGCCCCATTTTTTTAAAACTCATATTTTCAAAATTTATTTTTCTTAATTCCAATAAAATATTTTACACGTAAATTGAAAACTTTTTCCTTACTTTTTTAATCACATATTCTTCAAAAAAATCACTTTAGAAAATACAATTTTCCCTCAAACAGTGCTCAAAGGGCTAAATTTATGAAATTTTTCAAAGCTAAAGCAAAACTCATGAAGCACATGAATAATAATAATAATAATAATAATAATAATAATAATAATAATAACTACTACATTAGAGAGGAATAAAAAGCAGTGATCTCTGTTAAAATTACAACAAATTAGTAGCGTCTATTATTTTGCAAACCAAATTTTCCGTTGGAGGAACCAGAATTTAGTAATGAAGATGCAGAAAAGCTTGAATTATTGCTTTGCAAATACAAGCTCATTGTTGAAGATGAACCTCCGTTGGAGCTCTTAGTTTCTTGTCCATCACTAACTGAGCCTTTGAGATTCGAAGAATTGGCTTTCAAATTTTCCTCTCTTTCATGCCTTATCTCCTTCAGCATTGCTGCTATATCCTTCATCGTAGGCCGGTCACTGGGGGATGGGTTAACACAAAGCATAGCCACTCCTAAGGTTTGCATCATTTCTTCAATCTCGGGTTCTGGCCGAGCTCGTAAGCTTGAGTCGAACATGTCTATTCGACCCCTTTTCTGCCTCACCCAATCTACAATGTGAAGTCCTTCGGGTATGGTAGGATCTATTGGTTGCTTTCCCGTTAGAACTTCGAGTACAACAACACCATAGCTGTAAACATCGCTCTTTTCTGTTATTTTCCTCATGAATCCACACTCTGCACATCAAAATGTTGGGAAAGATCACTAGCACACACTGATAAATAAAGTGGAACAATAGAAGTAAAAGTACAAACTCCTTATAAACCTAAGACAAACATTTCCAGTTGATTTAGGACTTTTTTTTCAGACATCTCCAACACAAACACAAAGTACAATTTTATGGCTTGTTGAGTTATACATTCGTCTAATTTAGAATGCGTACGGGATAGAATTGAACGGTTGGGAAAGATCACTAGCACACACTGATAAATAAAGTGGAACAATAGAAGTAAAAGTACAAACTCCTTATAAACCTAAGACAATTACATTTCCAGTTGATTTAGGACTTTTTTTTCAGACATCTCCAACACAAAGTACAATTTTATGGCTTGTTGAGTTATACATTCGTCTAATTTAGAATGCGTACGGGATAGAATTGAACTTGAACGTGTATTTTTCTTGTTTGAGAATGTGAACTCACCTGGAGCAAAATAACCGTAGGAACCAGCAACGGTGTTGGAGGACAGACCAAAGCCTCCATCATCAAGAAGTTTGGCAAGTCCAAAATCAGCGATATAAGGCTCAAAATCAAAGCCAATTAAAATGTTGTTGGCTTTGATGTCCCTGTGAATAATGGGAGGTACACAATCATGATGTAGGTAAGCCAAACCTTGAGCTGCACCTAATATAATCCGGTACCTCACGTCCCACTCCAAGCAGCCTCCACTGCGTTCGTGAAGGAGACTTCCTAGGCTTCCATTAGGCATGTAATCGTACATGAGCAACCTTGTGTTCTGATTCCAGCAGCAACCTAAGAACTTTACAATATTCTTATGCCGGATTGAACCGAGTGTCTTAACCTCAGTTGAAAAGGAATCACGAACTCCATTAATCCCCAATCTATCATTTTGACAATTATAACCAGCTTCTATTGTAGTTGACCATAGCTTCTTCACCGCAATGACTTCTGCGTTATCTAGTTCTGCTCGGTAAACAATCCCAGAACACCCTTTACCAATCACATTTGCTTCCACTAGACATTTCAAAACTTGCTCGACTGAGAAATTCAGCTTCTGGAATGGAGTGAATTTCCAAGACATTGAATCGCCACCTCCTAATTCAGAATCATTGTCTGCTTTATTCATTTTTCTAACTCTAAGAAGTGCTAATACTCCAAGAACTGCTAAGGCTACTGTCAAAACAACGAGCAACGCAATAGCCAGTTTGAGTCTCCAAGAAAATGTAATATTTCTATCATGTGGCATTCCCATACCTTGTACATTGCTTAGGAAACACGAGTCGTGCCCTCCAGTGCACAAGCCTTGATTGCCAGAAAGTTCAGTTGCTGATAACTGTCTGAACAGTTTATTGTCCGGGAGATAGCCTGTGAAATTATTATGGGAGACATTCAAGGAAACAAGGTTCACAAGCCCCGAAAGAGCCATCAAATCTCCTCCGAGCTTGTTGTGTGAAAGGTCTAATACATTAAGCTTATTGAGAGCATTTATCTGAGGTGGAATTACCCCTGTCAAGATATTCCAGCTCAAATTTAAAGCAATTTCTAAGGCCTCAATTTCAAATATTTCCACCGGGATGCTGCCAAACAGCCCATTGCTGCTTAAATCAAGCAATTGAAGCCTCGAACAATGCCCCAAGGTCAATGGGATTTTCCCAGATAAGGAATTGCCGCTAAGAATGAGTCTGTTAAGGGCAAAAAGTTCACCAAAACTCCCTGGAATTTGACCAACGAATTGATTCATGGAAACATCCAATACCTCGAGCTTACTAAGAGAAGATAGAGAACTTGGCAGATTGCCACTAAACGAATTGTTGGCAAGGTTCAGCATCTGCAGTTCTTTGCAATTGCCAATTTCATTAGGGAGTGATCCACTAAGATGGTTTCTAGAGAGGTCAAGAAAACTGAGGTTGTTCAAAAAACCGATTTCTTTCGGGATTTGTCCACTGATTTTATTGCCTTCAAGTCTTAAACGAATAAGGGAGTTGCAATCACCTAACTCTTGAGGAATAAAACCCGAAATATCATTAAAAATCAAGAGAAGCTTAGTTAAATTTTTAAGCTGAAAAAGTGTAGGGGGCAAACTACCAGTAAGAGCATTGTGTGACAAATCCAACGCCTGAAGACTTGTACACCCTGCCAATGCCGTAGGAATGCTTCCTTCAAGCTTGTTACCCCACCCAAAAAACACCTCCATCTGTGTCAGAAATCCAAGTGCTGATGGAATTGAACCGGAAATCTGATTAGCATCAAACTGAAATTGAATTAAGCTAGTGGCATTGGAAAGGCTAGTTGGGATAGAACCGGAAATATTGTTGCTACTGAGCATCAACTCTTCAAGATTTGAAAGATTCCCTAAAGACCAAGGAATACTTCCTGTAAAAAAATTCAGTGAAAGATCAAGAATGACCAAACTTTTGATATTCCCAATTTCATCAGGAATAGAGCCCATCAAATTGTTCTGCCATAGCAACATTTTCTGCAGTTTTTGAAGCTTCCCCAACTCTCCTGGAAGTGAACCTGAAAGATTATTCTCATACAAATACAAATCAACTAGCTCTGAACAGTTACCTAAATCTGGTGGAATTTCCCCTGAAAGCATTGTAGTATAAGCTGAAAAAACTTGAAGATTTTTCAACTTACCCAATGAAGCAGGGATAGAGCCAGAAATTTTTGTATCAGCCAAGCCCAGAACTTCCAAATTCTGACAATCCCCAATTTCATCAGGGATTTTCCCATAAATGTCCTTATTCCCTCCAGCCCTTATAACTTCTAAAGAAATAATTTTTCCCAACTCAACAGGCAGATTCCCACTGAGCTTATTATCAAATACCAAAAGATTTCTAAGGCTGATACAATTCCCAATCTCTAATGGGATTTTTCCTGTGAGTTGATTAGAGTTCAGTATCAAATCCTCCAGTTTTTGAAGCTTCCCAATGGTTCCTGGAATACTTCCCACAAGATTATTTGAACTTAAGTCAAGGGTTTTAAGAGAAATACATTCTCCAATTTCAGGTGGGATTCTTCCAGTTAGATTTGCACCAGAAATGACAAGTTTTTCAAGAAAATGAAGAGAGGAAAAATTAGAAGGAACAGGAACAGCAAACTGAATGGATTGAATATCAATTTCTGTAACAAAATTATCTGAAGAACATTTAATGAATGCCCATTCACATGGATTTGAGTCCTGTGGGTTCCAATTTGAAAACGAAGAAGGTGGTGAAGGAGAAGAATGGAGCCATGAAAACAGTACAAGAACTTCAATATTTGCTGCATTGACATTGTGGGGAAAATTTTTTAGCAAAAGAAGGAAGAAATAGCAGAAATAGTGGAGGAAATTCGTGTTGTTCAAGATTAATTGCCTCGACATCGGCATTTGCATTTGGCTTCAAATCCCAAACCAGTTTTTCTTGAAGCTCATGCAAATTTGTGAATATATTCAAAAAATAATACATATATTTAACTACAAAAAAAAAATTAAAAAAAAATTCAAAAGAAAGGAAAGGAAAGGAAAAAGAAGAGACAGTTAATTAAGGAATAGGCAGCTCCACCACCACCTCCTACTCCACTGATTTCTACCTCGGGGTTCTGTGTTCTGTCCTTTCTCTATATTTTATTATTTTGAACCATGTGTTTTTGCATCGTTTTCCTCTTTTCAATCTACTCATATCAATGGTTTTGTTTTGGTACTTGAGCCAAATTTATTATTATGACAATATGTTTATTGCAATCTTTCTCTTTATCTTTGAATTCACTTTCATTTCAAAGATTTTTGACTATAAATTGTTCAAGAAAAATAGAAGTAATGTTATCTTCTGGTTTATGCATGTGGATTCTTCTGGCTTTTTTCCCTTTGGCACCCTCAAACTTCTTCATAATGTTTCAAATGTACAATTTAAAATACACACAATACTAAACAGAGATTAAGATATTATGATTGAGCTTGAGTCGTAAACTAACAGTACTTCTTACACTTTATAGATGAATAAACAAAAATACAGCGAAAATAATAAGTATTAAAACTTGATGTTTCATCTTAAAAAGTCAAAATTTTTAATAGGAGTGGATCAAATCCTTATTTTTCGATCTATATTTAAGTATTTAATGGATATTGAATTTATTTTTTAACGTTCTCCCACAAGATGATTGTATGTTTGAATAGATTAATCTTGAAATCTATGTGCTAATTTTTAGTTTTAATCGATCGAAATATTAATTGGAGCTTAATGAACTTTGTAACCATATTCGGAGTTCTTTTTATCTCAAGCTCTTAGATATTTATTTACATTTCGGCTAAATGTGAAAAATATCATTAACAGCGAGAATACACATAAATATTTTAATAAACCTTTGTTTGTTGTAGATTAAATCAAATTTTAGTAAATTTTGATAAAAGTTGATAAAATATATTATTGAAAAGTTGTTGGTATCATGAAATTTGTGACTAAAATTAATTGTTAATTTTGATGTAAAATTTTAATTAACACCAAATAGAGGTTAAATTTTGTAGCTTTTTACCAAAGAATTAACAAGTTTCTTTGAAAAATCATTGCCAAAAATTTTAAGAAAAACGAAAAGAAAAAAATGGTAGCTCAAAATATCAAATTG